TTCCATTAAGGGTTAGCAAGAAAGATCCTTACTATTTAAGTGATCACATAAGTGCTGAATGAATCACCGTCAGCCTCATCATGAGGATTTAAAAATAGAAAGGAACAGTTGACATCATTCTATAGAAGATTTTTAAGGAACAGAAAGATGCCAAATAGTTTTTATTAGTTTTTTTTTCTTCCTTATTCTCTTAAGGAAAAGATATTTCTAAAGATTGGTCCAAGCCCACACATACAGTCTGTTGACAGTGGCTTTCACACTTGAGTGTGCATCTGAATCTCCTGGCGGGCTTGCTTGTATTACAGGATCCCAGCCCAGAGTTTCTGATTCAGTCAGTGTAGGGTGAGTTCTGAGATTTTGTTTCTGAATTTCCAGGATGCATGGTTCATGTTGCTGACTCAAGGCCTGCACCTGGCAGAGTAAGGCTAAGGCACAGAAATAGGTAAAACATGGAGGTGAGACGTTCAAGGTTAATTCCCCAATGCTAATGAAAATAATCCTGGTAAAAACACTGAATTTTGTTAAGAAAAGTGTGCATCTGTTGTAAAAGGGATCCATTATTTTTGACACTGTCAATGAACATTAAAAGTAGTTGCAAACCTAGATCTAGTGGTTCTGTCTACCCTCTCAGCTCACTGTCATCACATCTTGGTAAAATATGGGGTAAGTGATGTTGGCTCCAAGTATTACTTCAGTATCCTCTGGGTTAGTAATGAATTCAGAAGTTGCAAAGCATGAAATTTTTTTTTTTCTCTCACGTATGAGTCAAATACACTTTACCCAGGGACTGTGAAGGAGAACAGTCATTTTAACTAAAACTATTCCAGGTCCCAAGCCACTAAATCCTCAGTGCCATGCATGCCTGACAAAAAAAAACTGTCAGAAAATGAATCTGCAAGCCGTCAGGCACTAACTTGGCTTCAGCCTTCTGACTGCCCAAGTAGTTACTTATTCTAGAGGTGACTATGTACATTAAAACCTTAAGAGCCAACTCTATTGTAAGTATGTGAACCCAGCTACAATAATTGCGGTCTAGCACTGTCCCCCAGTTGTTCATTGATTTGCTCGAGCGGACACGAGTAACGTCTCCATTTGTGAGACTTTTTGTTACTGTTTCTGGCATATCAAATGCGCCACAGGGAGCTTGCCAGGCTCTGCCGTACGGGAGGGATACTCTCGGTAGCTTGCCGGGCTCTCAGAGAGAGAGAGAAATTAAATAAATTCAAAATAATAAATAAAAACTGTGCTCCAACGGCCACTGAGAGTTCCAAGGGCTGGAGTCAATCCCTGACTACAATAATTAAATTTTTAAAAAGCATTTCCTTAGGGGGCTGTGTCGGGGGTTGGAGGGGACCTTGAGATTTTAACTGATTGGTGGTAGGTTGAAGTTGGAACATTGTATATCTGACACTGTGTTATTAACAGTTTTGTAAATTATGGTGCCTAAATAAAATTGGGGAAAAAAAAGATTTCATTCATTTACCTGCAAGGGGGGGCGGGGGGGAAGGCTGCAATAGTAATAATCACTGACATTTTGAGAGAATTTGCTTTTTTCTGAGAAGAACTGCATTTTGGTCTTGTGTTAGTTTGGTCTTGTGTTAATTTGTGAATTTCTATCAACAGTCTCCAGTGGAGGTACTGTGCTTGTTACCTCTGTTACAGAGATGGGAGGCAGATAATTGGGAAGGTATTCAGTTGCTCTCACATAGTTTGTGAGTATTTGATTCCAAGCATCATGCACAGTGTAGGGGAAAACTTTGAGGAGAGTTGGTAGTATTTTTTGTCATTTTGGGGGAGGGATGTATTTGGGCCATACCCTGCTGTTTTCCGAGCTTCTTATTCTTGGCTCTGCACTGGAATCACTCTTGCAGGGTTTGTGGACCCTCTGGGGTTCTGGGGATTGAACCTCACTTGGCCTCATACAAAGGAAATGCCTTGCTGCTGTACTATCGCCACTGTTCATAGATTTGATGTTTTAAAAGAACATTTTCAATGGCAGCTTGATGAGATGAAGGTTTTATTAAAATGGAAAGATGCTAGAAAAAAAATTAAGTGTGCTGAAACAGAACATATTTAGGATTAACATTATGCTATAGACAAGGACTTTCCGAGAATCTTATAACTGGGTAAAGTATCAGTGTATTTACACTTGTATGTTTATTGCAGCACTCTTCACAATAGCTAGAATCTGGAAAAAACCCAAGTGCCGAGAACAGATGTCTGGTTAAACAAACTTTGGTACATCTGCTCAGTGGAATACTATACAGCCTTTAGAAAAGGTGAAATCATGAAATTTGTATATAAGTGGATGGACATGGAGAGTATCATGCTAAGTGAAATTGGTCAGAAAGAGAGGGACAGAATAGGATGACTTCACTCATTTGTGGATATAAAGTAACATAGTATGAGACTAACACCTAGGGACAGTAGAGATAAGGGCCAAAGGATCACTTCATGGTTTGGAAGTGGGTCTCACATGCTGGGGGAAAAGGCAGTTGGGATGGAGAAGGGACCACTAAGTAAATGGTGGTTGGAGGGATCACTCGGGATGGGAGATGTGTGCTGAAAGTAGACTAAGGACCAAACATGATGGCTTCTTAGTATCTGTATTGCAAACCATAATGCCCAAAAGTAGAGAGAGAGAAGGAATGAACCTGCCACAGAGGCAGAGGGTGAGATGGGTTGGGGGCGGGGGCGGGGCGGGAGGGATACTAGGGACATTGGTCATGGAGAATGTGCACTGGTGGAGGGATGGGTGCTCAATCATTGTATGACTGAAACTTAATCATGAAAGTTTGTAACTGTATCTCATTGTAATTAAATAAACAAAACAATACCCCCCGCCCCATACACGCAGAACCATGTGTAAATGCAGCCATTCTGCCCAGCATAAGAGCTCAGTCATATGACGCCAATATTGTAACAATGGACATTGGACACTGTGCTATGTGACTGATGGAAGTAAGACAGTCTAAGGAAGATCAAACAGTGTAAATTTATTTATCTTTTGGGGGAAGGGTTTGGGCTCTTTTCAGCTCTTTGCTCAGGAGTCACTTCTGTTGTGCTTACGAACCATGTGATGTTGAGGATCATGCTGGGGTCACTCACATACAAAGGAAGTACCTGAATCCCTGTACTAATTTCTGACCTTGACTGTTGTAAATTTGTAAACATGGTGCTGCATTGTTCCAAGTATGGAAAACTTAGATGCATTGCCACGTGAAACCTTCTTCTCAGGCATCATTTTAGGCAGAACCTTCGATTCTCTTTAATCAGTTTCTCATAGGATCATCTGCGCAGAACATCTCTGCCATTCTATATGTTTGCCTAGTCTGGAAAAGGAGAGAGAGAGAAAGGAAAGACTGCTGGGTGCCGTGTCTGTGGTTGTTCTTAGTATCTAAGAGCCCGAGATAACCTTTGGAATATTCCCTATTTGGAGAGACAGTGCCTGTTAGAAATAGAGGAGAAGAAGCTTGAATATGATCATTGTTAAGGGGCCAACCTGACAGATTCTAGTATGAAGACCCTGGGGGATAAGGACATGCAGGGACCCATGGATCTGGTGTCAGCTGTCATTATTTATGTCATTAGATTTGGAGTTCAGTGAACTCCAAACATGGATTTATTATGGATCACATTTAGAGATCATTTGAATGGAGCGGAGGGGGCAAGAAATGAAAATTCAGAATTTTGACAAACCCATTTGTGGTTTGTCAAATGGGATTTTGTTGTTTGTAGCTCATTTGCCGTATCTTTGATCAGAAATAGAAGATGAAAGGGGTAAATATGGATTGAAAGTGGGATTCCGGTTTTCTGGCAACTCTCTCACTGTGTTTCCCCTTGTGAATGCTGCCACTTTCTGGATTGAATTGTATTCTCATGATCTGCGTACAAATGCTTTCACAGCTTAGGTGTAATTAAGAATGGGAGGAAATCAAAGCATAAATCTAAGAAGAGACTGAGGGAGTCTGTTAATCCCCAGAAAAGATACTTTTGAATAAAATCATGATTAAAATAGTAGAGTCATGCTGTCATGAAAATTAGAAAGAAGAAAGGACTTTCTTTAACATATAAAGGGAGTTCATAGATAGATACTTCCTTTATAGACCTAACTAGAAATGGTCTATATAGTTTTGTTCATGCTTTATATATCTGGCTCCCCAGGAAATGTTACTTAGGATTAAACATTAAAGTTTACTGAGGATAGAAATGAATGGCCTTTTGATTTCTTGGTGACCAAAGACTTTGTTATAGAATCAAAGTAATGAAATAGTTTTTGTGTGATTCAGAGTAGCCTGTCTGATTCCTAGAGTAAAATCAAGATTCAGTTCTTAACTACTGCAAGTATTGTTAAAGAATAAAGTCCAGGTTTTAAAGTATTGGGCGAGGAAAAGGGTAACAAACTTTATTTTGGTGGCAGATCATGAACAATTAGGGGTTAGTAGGTTTATTACTGGCATGATTCATAAGTTGCTACTGTCTGTGCACTTGATCCCAGTATTAACAAGGAACATTGCCATAGAGTGTAACAAATTAGATGTGTTTAAAAATCTGGCAGAAGGAGGAAAAACACTGAAAACAAGTTGGTATTATTTGATCAAGGCAGAGGGGTATTTGTTTTATTATCTGATAAAACATATAGGATATAAATGTGTGTACGTAGACTATTATATACAAATACTACACATAAATGAGTTGTCTTTGATGGTGAACAATATGCTTAGAATTTATTGTTTATTTATTTTTTGAAACTACACTGACTACAGGCCAGAGCGATAGCACAGTGGGTAGGACGTTTGCCTTGCATGTGGCTGACCCAGGTTTGATTCTTCCATTCCTCTTGGAGAGCCTGACGATCTACTTAGAGTATCCTGCCGGCACAGCAGAGCCTGACAAGTTCCCCATGATGTATTCGATATGCCAAAAACAGTAACAACAATTCTCACAATGGAGACGTTACTGGTGCCCGCTCCAGCAAATCTGGAGGACAGTGCTATAGTGCTACACTGACTGCATCCTCTCCCTCTCCCTCTTTCAAGGGAAGAAAAGAATGATCATTAGTGGCAAAAGACCGTTGCAAAAGCAACACCTAAACTGGCTTCCTGCTCAGGGAGAGGGTGCTCTTGACTCTTCCTCATGGTTTTGGGTGCTCTGCATGATCGTAAAAACTTCCCTAGTAGTGAACTGTACCAATGATCCCTGAAAGTCTAGTCTAGAATTATTTTCAAAAATATAGTCGATTGGCGGACTCTTCGTGTCACGTGAGACGAAGGCGAGATTCAAAGATGGTTGATATTGAGAAGGGCAAGAAGATTTTTGTCCAGAAGTGCGCTCAGTGCCATACCGTGGAGAAGGGAGGCAAGCACAAGAAAGGTCCTAATCTCCATGGTCTGTTTGGGCGAAAGACGGGGCAGGCCACTGGATTCTCTTACACCGTTGCCAACAAGAACAAAGGCATCACCTGGAATGAGGACACGCTGATGGAGTATTTGGAGGATCCCAAGAAGCACAGCCCTGGAACAAAAATGATCTTCGCTGGCATTAAGAAGAAGACCGAGTGGGCAGAGTTGATAGCTCACCTCAAAAAAGCTACTAATAAGTAAAAGTTGGCACCGCCTTATTTATTACAAAACAAATGTCTCATGACTTTTTTATGTGTACCATATTTAAATCCATCTCGTTCACCAGAATTCAGATCATGAGTGACCAATAGCATATTTTTCTTGGGCAGCCCTGATTTAAATAAGATTGGCTTGTGTTTTAAATGAGTATGATCAGTTTTTTTGAATTAATGACAATTCCAGGTCAGCAAGTGCAATCACTGTCCCTTTCCAAAGTTATGATTGAACTTAATTCATCACATTCACCTTTCCAAGGGATGGAGATGGCCATCTCAAACCTGTGGGAGAATAGTTTTCTATTCAGATTTATAGAAACGGCTATATTAATATATCTAAAGATTGAGGATATCACTGTCTCCTTAGGTTGTTTCTTAGCCTGATAAGATTAGTTGGCAGTGACCTTACATCTTTTTCTTAATTTCTTACATCTTAATTTCTTAAAAATTCCCTGTATCTAAAAATGTTGCCTTTCACTTACTGAAAAGTATTTTAATGTGATGTACGTATAACATTGAATGAAAAATACCACTTCTCACAAAAATAATATATATATATACATAGTCAATTGGACTTCCTAGATTTAGCTTAGTTTTCTGTATTGTGATAATCCTGCTTCCAAAACTATTCCCTTACCTCAAAGGTGAGAACAAAGCTGGTATAAAAGGAGGGTCCTGTGATCTCAAGCATTGGGTCCAACCATAGATACCAGCAGTAAATCTCTGGAGACCAGACTGATAGAGATGCTGGATCAGGAAGGATCACAGATTGTACCTGTTCTCCCTAGTTGCCCTAGTATACATCCCTCTGATATTGAGCTGAGATTTTTGATACAGTACAGATATTAGCACTGTCAAGGGCAATTTGATGCTACAGACCATAGAACGAGAGAATTGGCTTATTTTAATTAAAAATAACAAAACTCTTAGATGGTTTTTCAGCAGAAAATGGTGAGTGGTCTTCCAAGTTGCAAAGGTTATAAGATAAACCAGTTAGTCTTGGGAGATTTCTTCCCCCTTCTTTCTCTCCCTTTGACTTATCTTTCTCCTTTAGAATTCTTTGCTAATAATTAAATTATCAGAAGTACCGTGCATATCTTTTAAAGGGCATATCTCTTCCTTTTTTCACAAAGGGGTTTATAGAGGGAAACTACTGGTCATCAGAATCTCAGATGTTTTTAAAATTACCTTTTCCTGTTTTTTCTTTAAGGATTTTTAATTTTTTATAGGTTTCTTTAATTTTTTTTTAATTGAATCACTGTGAGAGACAAGTTAAAAAGTTGTTCATGATTGGGTTTCAGTCACATAATGTTCTAATACCCATCTCTTCACCACTGTACATTTCTAACCACCAATGTCCTTAGTCCCTCCCCCTTCACCCAGCCACCTGACGCTATGATAGGCACTTTTCTTCTCTCTCTCTGTCTCTGTCTCTATCTCTCCCCTCCCCCCATCTCTCTCTCAAACACATATGCATGCTCTCACTCTCTCTCTCTTTCCTTTTGGACATTATGGCTTGCAATACGATACTGAAAAGTTAATATATAACTTATATATAAAAGTTAATATATAACTTATATATAAAAGTTAAGATATAACTTATATATAAAAGTTAAGATATAATATATAAAAGTTAATATATATCCCTTTACCTACTTTCAACACTCAGTTCTTGTTCAGAGTGATCATTTATAACTATTACTGTCATACTGGTCCCTGACCTTCACTCCCTACACACTTGTGGTAAGCTTCTAACCATTGACCAATCCTGCTGGTTTTTATGGTTTTCGAGGTATGAAAATTTTGTTTGTTTCGGGCCAAACCTGGCTTTGCTCAGGGTTTACAGCTGACTGTGCAGTCACGGGTCACTCGTGGAGGGTTCAGGGGTAACATATGGGGTTCCATGGATCAAAGTCAAGTCAGCCGTGTAGCACCTTCCCCACTATATTATCTCCATTTCAAAGGTTTTGTTTTTTGCCTACTAGTTATCTGCTCAATTGAATAAATAGGCTCAAAATTCACTTGACTCTTCTGCAAACTCAGATTTGCAAAATTCCTATTTCAAATTCCTCAGTAACTGTTTTTGTTTTTGTTTTTCGGTTCCCTGTTTGAGGTGTAGGGGAAGCAATGAGTTCTAGAGCCACACTTGGCAGGCATTCAGGAGCTATTCCTGCTCTGTGCTGTGGGTAACTTTGGAAGACCTGAGAAACCATAACTGGTGGTGACCCCAAGAATTCAAGCTGGGGTCAATTGCATGCAAGGCAAGTGCTATAAACCCTTTACTGTTTCTCTGGTCCTATTTTTAAAATTGAGTGTGCACATGTACTCAGTATTTGTGTCTCATTAATGCAGTGTAGTCAGGAAAGCATTAGGGTAAAAGCTCTGGCTTAATGTCTCCTGAGACTTGGAACAAAAAGCAGTTTTGTGCAGAGATACTCCATCTTTGCCAAATGTAGCCTTACTCCTGCTGAACTCATGACGGATGGATTTGGATCCAAACAAGTGAGATAATTTTTCAGATAAATGCCTCTGGGTGTTGAAGTGAAGGGCCTCCCACCTAGCTATTTTTAGGTATCTTTTTTGGGGGGAGACTCTCTCAAAGGCACTTGGGTTCCAAAGTAGAAGAAGCAGCGTTTATAGAAGCTCTTTGTCGGCCCTTCTGTAGTGAATCAAGTACTTAAAGAGAAGAAACTTGGGGGCTGGCGAGAGAGTACAGTTAGTAAAGTAATTGCCTTGCACCCAGCCAACCGAGGTTGGACTCCCCAGCACGCCATATTGGTCTCCTAAGCCTGACTAGGAGTGACCCCTGAGCACAGAGGCAGTGAGCCCAGCTGGGTATGACCCAAAGACAAAGACAAAAAGCCAAAATTCGTAAGAGGAGAAAATTAACTATGTCTTTGTCCTTGTGATTTCAGGAGCGATTCCTGTTCTAAAGTGGACACTGGCGGAGGATCCATTAGCCATGTAAGTACCGTAGTAAGCAGATGTTCCCCTGGCTGAGCACAGACCACGGGATATTTGCCCATGGGAGGGAGAGGCTAAGTAGTTGAATTAGGTGATGGCATTTGGCATCGTTCAAATAAGGACGTGCTGGTCCCCAAAGAGCAATTGGTGGCTATCCCTTGGCATCCATTCCTGAGCAGCCATCTCTGACTATCTGGTTAAGGCCTGGAGGAATGGTCTTGAGGCATAATTGGGCAAACATTTTGTGGGTGAATTGGGTGTGTGTAGGACATGACATGCTGAGGCTCAAACCCCAGGCTTCAGAACTGCGGGGTATGCATGCTACCCCTGAGCCAGGGATATTTTCCATGTCTGGAATTAAATATCAAAGTGGCATGAAGAGATGGGAGCAGAAGACCATTTATTACTGCTTCGATCATTATCAGACACAAAAGCCATTTACCATTTCATAGCAGGCTGACTGCTTCAGAGCAGCCCAGCTCAGACTGGCACAGAAGATCATGATGTGAATCTAAGGACAGCCAAAGAACTGCAGAGCGTGACTCATTAAGACTGCAGAATCTCTGAACTGTGTGTATATTAAGGAACAATTGCTCAAGAACTGCATGTCCCTAAGTCCACAGTTATGTGCATATTTTATGGAGGAAACAATTTGCTACATATTCCTCCCCCCTCCCTTTTTCTGGTGGTCTGAAAATCCAGAAAGTGTTTAATGCCATTGTCACACCTACCCTTGAGAGTTACCGTGGTCATTTCGACCTTCAACTCCAGAGCAGACTATTTGGATTTCACAGGATTTGGCATCAAGGTTGTGGGCCACCAGTGTGAAATGAGCATTCCTGATTTCTTGTTTCTCAAATGTACATGGGTCTTTGAACCAACTTTGTCTCTGATGGCATCACAGGAGGAAAAAAACTACCCCAGTGATTCCCAAGCAGATGAATGCCTGGTGTGAATAAAAAGCCTTAATGTTGGAGTTAGAATATCATGTGACCATGTGACCAACCCAGGCATCTTTCTATAGCTATCACCTTGAGACTTTGTCCCTCTGGGAGAAACCAGAGAAACAAGAAGTATCTCTTTCAGACCTCAAAAGGATTTTGAGTTTCTAAAGAGGTGGGATTTTGTTAAAGATGCGCCAGGCATATTTAATTCACCCCTCCACTCTGCGTACCCCAGCACTTATTGGGGATAGCACTTTAGTTCAGGATAAGGGCAACTGCACAATCTTGGGGGGGGGGGGTGTGGGTATCCTGAAACCTGGTCTGTGCTGGCAGATCTGGAGGTTTTTTCCTTGCTCTCTGAGAGCTGCCAGGCAGGGCAGCAGGGGGAGCCAGTTATTGTTTTGGAGGATTGGGGTCCGTATGTGGTCCCTGCTACCCAGGGGTTGTAGCTTATGCTCTGATCCTCGTTCTGCCTTTCCTGGATGTTGTTTTCTTTCCTGCCTCCTGTTCTCAGCTCTGCACTGTGTGGGGCTGACAGCCTTCACAGTGCCGGCAGACGTGTTGTCATCATGTGGTCCTCCCGGGCTGTGTTTATCTGCAACCAAATATGTTGTCACCTTCCCTCTCCAATGTCTCTTACCTAGGGGCCTGCAGTCCTCCTGGCACCTTTGGGAGTAACGAACCAACCTAAAGAGCAGCTGTCTGTCAGCTTCCTCCCGAGCCGTCGGCTCAGGCGCTTGTCAGCCGGCTGCTGGAGGAGTTCCCAACACAGCAGACTTGGCTGTCATTGACATTTATGACTTGAAAGCCACATCATCGATGAGTTTGTGTTACTTAGAATCTTTTAAATCACCTTCAGAAAAGAGCTTGTGGTGCCTCTACTCATCACTTACTCAGGGTCCCTCCACTCAGGTCATGCCTAGGTGTGGGAATAGTTGTTGCTTCTGGAAGGTGGAGATGCGTCACACACATCCCCCCCTCCCCCCAGCCCCATCATATTGTCCAGTCAGTTCTGCTGCTTTGGAAAAGAACTGAGTTTTCCCTGAGCGTGTACTTGTCTGTGTTACTGGAGAACAGAATGGTGATGGGCGTTCAAGTAAAATGTTAGGATGGAAACTTGGACCACCACAGTGATGCTATTCTGATATTATTATCATACTGATGTCAGAAAAATTTTCTCAGGTTGGTAGAGTCAAAAAAAAAAAACCCAGCTTCTAAGCTTTATTTCTTGGGCCTAGAGAGAGCGAGATCTCAATAGACTGAATGAACTTTGAATTTGGAAGCCTGGGGTTTGATCCCCGATTGCAGAGGGTAGCACCAAAGAACCGAAAAACCTCAAAGCTACCCCTGAAAGCACATACTGCCAAGGAAAGTCCAGAAGGGTGTGAGGGCATGGGTGCGTTTAACTTCCTTGGGGTCTGGCAAGACTGTCCGTGCCCTGATGGTATGGCTGGTCTTATTCCTCTTAATCCCACTAGGGCTAGCACAGAACCTGGCGCATGGCAGGCAGCATGAGGGGCTGAACAAGTGGAGGGGTGAGGGTGGGGGAGGAGAAGATTTCAGGGTCAGAGAGATGGCTCACAGGGGTGGAGCCCATGCAAGGCTTATGCTTGGCTCTGAGTTTGATCACCAATACTGCATTGTACCCCTCCCATCACCTCCCATTACACGAGCTTCCAGCTCTATACCAGAGCCCCCCCTCAACCCCCACCAAAAAAAAAAAAAGGTTTCCAAGGTTGAAAAGTTCTTCCTTCTTCTTTTTCTCTCCTTTTGTCCCTCCCTCCCGTCCTCACTCTATTCCTCTCTAGCCTCCCCTTGTCCTCCCTTCCCAATACTAGGACCAGAGAAATAATGTCATCAGCAGCAAATCCAGATCACGGGATTTAATGCTCAGGAGATTTTCCTGCTGGCGTCAGAGCTGAGTAATCCTGGGAGAGATGTTACAGGAATGGGGACTTAGATGGCAGCTCTTTGAGGCGATTAGAAGGAGACTGCCTCCCCGCCCGCGCTCAGATTTCCATGGGAGGCTCCTAGAACGGTTGTCACATCCCAGGAAATGTCAGTGCCTGACCTTGACTATGAACTGAGCAGCTGTACCTTAGTCTGGAGCTTGTCTGGAAAGGAAGGAGTGGGAGCAGGCTGCAGGGCCGGCTCCAGGGGCATGAGCGTCCTGGCTCTGCCTTTGCTTTTCATGCACCTTGCAGTTCCACACCTGCTCCTCCTCCTCCTCCTCCTCCTCCTCCTCCTCCTCCTCCTCTGTTCATTGCCTGCACTGGAGGCAGCAGCTGCCTGTACATAGCGAGGCCCAGTAGGTTAAGCCGTAACCCGCTCCCAGCACAGGGGAGAGGCAGGGCTGCAGTGTTGAGGACGGGGCTGTGAGCCATCTCTGTGGGTTTGTGTGCGTGTGTGCGTGTGGAGTTATACTCAGAGGTCATCAGGGCTTCCTCCTAGCTCTGTGCTCAGAAATCACGCTCGGGGAGCTGGAACGATAGCACAGCGGGTAGGGCATTTGCCTTACACGTGGCCAACCTGGGTTTGAATCCCAGCATCCTATATGGTCCTACGAGCACCGCCAGGAGTAATTCCTGAGTGCAGAACCAAGAGTAACCCCTGAGTATTGCCGGGTGTGACCCAAAAAGCAAAAGAAAGAAAGAAAGAAAGAAAGAAAGAAAGAAAGAAAGAAAGAAAGGAAAGTAGGTGGGGTGCCAGGGATGGAACTTGGGTCTGACTTGCGCAAGGCAAACTAAACAGCAGAGCTGTCTCCTGCTCAAGGCATGCCTGCTTTAACTGCCTGTAACCAAAATCTACTTCATGGAAGAGGTTTCAAAACAGGACCTGGCATCTGTTCTCTGGCTTTACTTGAGAAAAAAAAAAATTAAAGCATTTTAAACACTTCAATCTCCAGACAGGTTCAGAGATTTAGTTAAAATACTCACTGTGCCTTCCTGTCAGATTTTACTGGTTCCTTTCTGAGAGCAGATGACGTCTTGCGAATTGTGAAATGTGCCAGCCCAGGCTTACGCTTTACGATAGTGGCTTTGTCCCTGGAAGTGCTAAAACAAAACAAAACAGGGTCCATCTGGAACCCAGAACTTCACCCACACTGCAGAGGAGGCTGGTGCTCCCTGCATTTACCCAAACTGAGTATTTCCTTCCTTCCTTCTTCGGAGCAGGACCAAAACAAGTCCTTAGGAGACCTGAGGCCTTCTCCCAGCTCTTCTCAGCCATCCTGGCTGAGCAGATTGGGGTGCGACTGAGAATGTGTCAGGGATTGTTCACCACCTGCCCTCTCTCCCACCAGTGTGTGTGTGTGAGTTCTCCAGAACTATTGTTCCCTGCGATCCTCACGGGGCCATCTGGTGCTGGGGATTAAGTCAGGGTTGGCCACATGCAAGGCAAGTGCCTGAATCCCTGTACCATCTTTCTGACCTTGATTTCCTTTCTTTATTTTGCTGCTCATTTGGGCTGGAGCAATAGCACAGTGGGTAGGGTGTTTGCCTTGCATGTGGCCTGATCGGCCGACCTGGTTTCAATTCCTCCGCCCCTCTTGGAGAGCCCGGCAAGCTACCAACAGTATCTCACCCGCATGGCAAAACTTGGCAAACTCCTCGTGGTGTATTAGATATGCCAAACATAGTAACAACAGGTCTCACAATGGAGACACTACTGGGCTCGTTTGAGCAAATCGATGAACAACGGGAGGACAGTGCTACAGTGCTGTTCGTTCATTGCCATCTTTGCTGTCTGTTTTTCTCTTCCTGGTGTTTTGAGGCTGTAGTATGCCTCTGAGTCCTCTCCGTTGTTGTCTTCTTCCAGGGAGGATAGGACGCCCTTGGCAGGGGTGACTTCAGGGCCACACTTGGCAGCCCGAACCCTTTTTCCTCATGCTCATCCCCTTCACAGGACTCTCCATCATGGATCCACTCACTCACCTCTCCCGTCTCCCGGGACTGGACTGGCATGGTGGGCCTGCCTGGATGGTGCCCCAGAACAGAGCAGAGCTCGTTTACTTTGCCTTTTGGGTTTGATGTTTTGAATAGGCAGCGTTGGTAGAGC